CTTAACATTCCTGATTTCCCTGGTGACCTGTGTGTGCAAGGATCTTCATGCTCCCAACAGATGACCAAGCCAAAAGTATCTTGAGTGGCTACCTTTTAATCACTATTGTAGAAACCACTACCATCTTGGTTAGTACACACTCGGTAACACTGCTTATTCCCAACCCACATTCAGATGCTGCCTTATGATTTTCACCATTACATTTTTAATCACCTTCTGATGTGCTTCATTGTGTTTGTCTACATCCTTTCTTAGGATGTTGTATATCAGCAGTAATCTTTTCTTGTCTACTAAATCCCAACATTGGAGTACCTAGAATTACAGACTAGAACACAGTAGGCCCTCGGTGCATGAACAAATTTTCACATCATTTTTTTCTTATATACATTCAGTTGTACTGTTCAACATAGAGCCTGGCCTCTGAATGCTGAACACGCACAAGATAGCTCCATCTTGGTGTAGGGAGACAGAGTGCTCAGCCAGAGGCCAGATTCTTCAGGCTCTCCCTCACTTTTTTTTTTTTTTTTTTTTGCTAATTGCCAGAACAGACTGCTGATAAGCTAGATTTGTGGGCCTTTTGCACAACTTAGCTCCAGCTTTTTACAAAGTAAGAGCATAAATGTCCACCTGCGACATGAGCAACGGTTCTCTCACAGTATGACAGTATGCCTTTGGAACTGTGGATGATCACAGTGAAGAGAAGTGACAGTGAAGACACAGTGAAGAGACACTGATCCCTCTGTAAATGATACAAAGACAGACAGCAAGGTTGAGGAGGGCTGCTGTGTGATAGCACATCATAATCCCTGTGGGAAATGATAAAGGATTTGAGAAATCCTGCCTTTAAGAAAAGAACCTCTTGGGCTGGAGAAATGGCTCAGCAGGTAAGAGCACCTGTTGCTCTTGTAGAAGACCCAAGTTCAGTTCCCAGCACCCACATGACCACTCACAACCAAACAAAACTCTGGTCTGACGTCCTTGAGCACCAAGCACATATGTGGTACGCACACATACATGCAGGCAAAGCAGTCATACAAACAAAATTTAGATGAATACATCTAAAAAGAACAGTTTAATGATCTTTACCTTTGTTTTAACCTAGTATTTCCAGTAAATTATTCATCTAGAAATTATGCTTTGTGTAAATCCAGTGAAGCATACGTTAGACAGTTCTGATTTAAAACACAGAGCGTTCCTGTGAACTCACAAAGGGCCCACCTGAGTTTCTGTATCCTGCAGCGTGGCAATTGAAGAGAGCTCAGGCTGACTGAGGAAGAGAAGTGTCTGCCTTCTGGGCTACACTCCCACCTTTAAAGTCAAAAGAGGTCATTTCATCTGATCACTCCAAGTAATGAGGCAAACGAATTGGTTTGCACTTACCACCATCTCTTGAAACACTCTGTAAACTGGGACATCAAAGCGACCCCATGCTGAGTAATGAAGACGCCAGCTCTGGAGTCAGATAAATCCTATTCAGATGACAGCTCTGATTACTACTTACGGCACCTTATATAAACTGCAGCTCTTGTGAGTCAAATCTGAATCTCCTGGGTGATGGTGAAATGGCTTAGTAGGTAAATGTACTTGCCACCAAGCCTGACTTGAATTCAATCCCCAGCACTCACATAGTGCAAGGAGAGAACTGACTCTGTAAGTTTCCCTCTGACTTCCACCTGTGTGGTATGGCATACTCACGCCCACACACACATACAGAAAATAAATAAATATTAAATAAATGAATTTAAAGTACTTAATCTTCTGAATGAATCCCCAGAAAGCACTTATTATAGGAAGCTTTTATTTAAGCAGAGAATCACAATTTTAAGTGACTGTGTCTCATGTTGGCCATGTCTGACATGTGATAATATCTATATTCAGCTGTGGAGTGAGCATTGCAGAAGACCGTGTGGCTGAGAACAATGACTGAAAGTGAGGTAGATAATTTGGGGTTTGGGTTTGGCCTTTGACCAAGAGACCTGTAATTCAGGCTGGCCTTGAACTCTGGATCCTCCAGTTTCTATCCTCCGCCCCTCACCCTCCAAAAAAGCTATGATTATTACAGGCAAGAGTTGCCATACATAGCTGAGGTAGAGAGGTTTTTTTCACCAGAAACTTTCTAAGAAGGTTTTTGTAGGAGAAGATGCACAGCTCCCGTTAGGTGCACAGATGAGAGGGAAAGGAAGGGTACGAGCGGTGAGCTCCAGGTCACTGAACCACCATCAGGATGAAGAGGGAGGCTGGGCTTGTGTACTGATGAAGTAGGGCAGCATGACATGTGAGGAGGAAGGCAGTGAGCAGGAAGGTCCAGCAAGGATGAGAGAACAGGGAATATAATACCTGCTTAAAGCATGGGAGCTAGCAGATAGAAAATTACATCCCAAGGATACTTGTGTGATGTCACCTTGTGAACATGTAAGATCCCAGACTAATCCTGCCTTCAGGAAACCTGTGCCAAAGCCTAAATATGGTTCAAGCCTTGCAGCCTTGATTTGTGTTTTCTTTAGGTGTGATATCATAAGACCATTAGATTTACTATGGTTGCTCTGATTGTATTTCTTTTTCTTCTTCTTCTTCTTCTTCTTCTTCTTCTTCTTCTTCTTCTTCTTCTTCTTCTTCTTCTTCTTTTTTTTTTTTTACTGTTTTATTCTAATCTCCATCATTGCCATTTTATCACTAGATTCATCATTGTGACAGCAATTCATGTCTGAAGATACATTGTTGTTTTAAAAATACCATATTACTGTAATTTATTTTTTCATCGTCTCTCCTATTACATATTATACAAGTTGTTATTTCATAAGATTTACTATTATTTCATTTCCTCTGTAGAGTACTTCATTTTGAAATTATGTTTTCAAGTTGGATGCTTCTGAGAAAAGTTCCTGAATGTGGCTAACTCCACTGTACCTAAAATATCTGTACCCAAAAACTGCCCCTGGCATCTGGCTTTAGTGTGACTCAGTTTTCAGGAAATCTAGTCATAAAGTATTCAAAGAATTGAACTGTGAAGCCACTGTGGCTAGATTCTGGAATACATGTTAGACTTTTAAAAAAATATATGAGGTTAGAGGAACCAACTGGTAGCTCCTAATTTCTGCCACAATAGGTTTTTGGTAGTTTGGTCCAGGAGACAGATAAGGTATAAAGTGAATCCCTCACTCACTTATCTGACTTTTTAGAATTAAACAGATGTGATCATGTGGTTATGATAGAATTTATAGGAGAGACAAAACAGGAATTCTTACCAGGAATAAGTTTAGAACCACCTAGCTTTGTATCAGTGTGAGATAAAGTCACTGAAGCCTTAAAGAGTTTACTTCATATTTGGGGGGGGATGAAGTCTCACTACTCACTGTGAAGCCCTGGCTGGCCTGAAACTTGCTGTCTCCTTTAGACTGGCTTTGAACTCATGATCCTCCTATCTCACCTTCTCCAGTCCTGGAATTACAGATGCTCTCCGTCCCACTCAGTGATTCAGAGATAGAGGCATTTGTAATGATACGCCTAAATATCTCAGCAAGAGAGATTCAAAGAGTTGAAGAACACTAACATCTTAATGATGTGGAATTCCTTCTTTGACAAATGGCTGCCCATCTTGACCATAGGTGGGAGTCTAATAGTATGGTGTCATCAAGAAGACAGGCTTTATCTTAACAAGGACCCTTTAAATGTGTTATAACAGGAGGCAGTGATGGATGGTTCTGGGTGCATAGCTTATGATCCCTACTAAAGAGTGTGAGAATATAAAGAAGATAGCCAGGAGGCTCTGCCATGAGGGAAGACATCCACAGGATGGAGATCATGGGCAGTTTGAATCCAGTAGTAGTGTTTCCAGAAGAGGTTCCAAAGATGCTAGTTATCCAGAATGATCCAGTATCTGGGCTAAGATAATACAAATGGGCTCTTTATCACAAGCCTTCAAGAGCCTATAGCAATGTACCAGTGTGCCTGAAGTATCTCCAGGAAGAGACTGTGTGACATGAATGTTTTAACCTTTCTCAAACTTGTACAACCACAAAACTGGATGCTCTCCCAGGGCTGGGTATATAGCTGGTAGAGTGCTTGCTGAACATGTACAATATCCTGGGTCTGAGCCCTAGTACTACATAAACACTTGTAATTACAGCACTCAAAATGGTTGGAAGTTCAGGGTCATCCTCAGTAAAATAGTAAATGTCTCAGTAAATGACTGAGTCAAAGAATGAATGGATTAAGGCAGGTAGCTAAGAACTAGACTAGGAAGGTATCAAAATAAAGAGAAAATATGTGTGTCCATTCTAATTAATGGAATTGTTTTGAACCTAGACATCCCTGCCTTTGGTACTTCTCTCTATTGCACCTATCACCTCCTGTACTGCACTTTTCAGCCACCTTCTTGCTACCAGTTGAAACATGCAATAAGAATATTTATTTGAATGTGTCCCCTCATAACCCAATCCCTTCTTACCTTTATAGGTGGTTCTGTTCTTGAAAACTCCCATATGAGCCTTAGTGACATAGAAGTCTTTGCAGGTAGATGGTAGAATATGCCATAATGCTTTGAAACCGAGTGTATAGAGGGTCTACATATTTATAACAAATACGCATGCATACGTGCAGCCTTCTGTCTTCAAATTCACCATACTCAACCTTATTTATCTTAACTCTAATGACTAGCCAAGGAAGATAAAGAAGTAGATGATAATCTATAAAAATTTATAGTGAGCTTGTTGGATAGTGATATGTTAAATTAATGCTGCTTCTGAAGGAAGATAAACCCCCACCTCTACCTCCCAAGAATATGGGAGAGCAGATTGATAAATGTCTCCATTGCAAGCATGACAGTGTAGAGCTACTCACTAAGCAAAGGATTTGGCTGAGAAATATGGAAGGTTTTGACTTACTACTCTTCAGTAAATATCTATTGTCAGGGATCCCAGTCTTGGTATAACCATAAGTTTTGTTGCTTCTTTTTTTTTTTTTTTTTTTTGTTTTTGTTTTGTTTTGTTTTGTTTTTTCAGAACGCCAACCAGGCACCTCTATGGCCAACTCCAATCCTGTCCCTTCAAGTTCAGCTGGGATCAGCAAGGAGCTGATTGATCTCCAGCCTCTCATTCAGTTTCCAGAGGAAGTGGCCAGCATCTTGACAGAACAGGAGCAGAACATTTATCGCAGGGTCCTGCCCATGGACTACCTCTGTTTCTTAACCCGGGACTTGAGTTCTCCTGAATGCCAGAGATCCCTGCCCCGTCTCAAAGCATCCATCTCAGAATCCATCCTCACGGCTCAGAGAGGAGAGCACAATGCCCTTGAAGACCTCGTGATAAGATTTAATGAGGTAAGGAAACACTTGGATGTTTCTGTACTCGAGCCACCATGTATGATTCTTAAGTTTATTTCTTGTATGGGGTCTGTCTTTGGTATCTCTCCTACCTATCTGTTTTGCCATTGCTGTGATGGACAGTTTTCATCTCAGGCCCTGAAATTACCACCATGTTGCCTTCTCCCTTCTCATTTCACCTTGCTGCCTGCAAAGTCTGAGCATGTCTACAAACATTTCAACCCCCTCCTCATCTACACACTCCCAGCATTGTTTTTAAGACCCATGTCTCAGCTGTGAGATTTGACGGCATAAAGCCTGACCACACCTATCTTGATACCTCCCCTCTGACCATCAGCTCTTCTAAGAAACTTAGAAGACCAGCATGCCTGGGGCTCCTCATCTAAGGCAGTCGGGAAGTAGTTTCTGAGGAGTGTGAATCACTCCTCTCCTCTCTCTACATCCTACCAACATCTTCAATCACAGAAAGTCACTTTAAAGCCTCTGAGAAATGCTAAAAGCCAGGTCTAAAGAGCACAGGTGTGACTACAGTTTGGAAACACTGGAGGTGGAGCTTCCAGAGTCGAGGGTGAGAAGCCAGTGACTGGGATTTCTATGGCTTACGTCAAAGTGGAAGTGACAGGAAGGAGATGAAAGTCTTGGTCTTAAAGAACTCTTCAATCTCCATAATGTGCCCTGTACCCATAGTTTTCTTTTTCTTGTTCTCCTTGTATTGATTTTAATTTCTTTTGCCTCAACCATTAAGTTACTAATGTTTAACTTGGATATTATGGGTTCTTGGTTGGCTAAATTTTATAAATAGTACAGTTTCTGAATTGGGATAGTAGTAAGCTCCATATAATGCTAAAAGGAATCTCATTATGGGTCTGTATATCTCTGGTTGACAGAGGGCCAATCAGCCCTTGATATGTGTGCCCTTCTTAACTCTTAGCCTCAGTCTGCAGCCTCCATAGCTTGCCAGCAAAGACCCTGATCAGGATGAAATCCAGTGGATGAAGAAAATGTTAGAAGTGGAGCCCAACTGGTTCCATGTCCAGGAATGTCCCCACACACCATTCCTCAGAAAGAAGCCTGTACCCAGAGGCCTGGCAGGCTTGTGATGACCATCTTACATGTACCCTTGGAGAACAGCTTTCCCATCCTAAACGGTGACACCACAGTGCAAAGGTAGTCACTGGCTCTGGTTACACAGGGCATGAGTGACTTCTGTGAGATTCCAAACTGTGTATCCTGGACTTTCACCTCTCCAGTGTCCTGTCAGTCACCCTCACTGAGGGTGATACTTACTGTAGCTGCAGGTTTCTATCCCACCCCAGACTAAGGCGGAATCACTGGGAATCAACAGGAGAGCCTGCAAACCACACTAACCCAGAGTTTTTGTTTTTGTTTTGTTTTGTTTTGTTTTTGTTTTTAAAATAAATATCCTGGTGTTCTTGATTTTTTTTTTAACTGATAAAAACGGATAGGGAAAGTGAAAGTTTCCATAAACGGAGCGATTTTACTGTTTCGTGGCTTATTTGAAATTTCCAGCTCTCTTCACTCTCACATCTTTAAGACCTTATTCTTGTCTGTTAAAAAAAAATTAGACCTTAACTTACAAGTGAATTGCCAGAAGTTTTAAAATCTAATTTTAAATCAAGCTTGGACTTTTTCCATCACGGCCACAGCCTCGGGAGTCAGTGATGAACCAGTGGTTGGGTCCCTGATGCAGAGCAGAACTGGAGGTGGGGCGCCCACAGCTAGGGTGAGGTATGCTTTGGACTATCTCTGAAAATAGTTTAGCGGCAACTTGAGAATGTAAACAAGATTTCTGGGAAAACACTTAAACAGCTTATGAGAAGAGAGGGTTTTCAAGTATTCTCAAGCATCTATTTTCATACAAATCATGGGCAAACTGATTAAAACTTCAGTCTGTACAGTCAGCTGTCAACGGCAGATTCCAAGGGATTCCCACCAACCAGCTTGGGTATAGCTCATTTTGATCACTCTATACTAAACAGTGGAGAGGATGTGTTACATTCAAAGAGAAGGACACAGAATGGCTTTCACCTACTTACAATGGGCTGCCTCCAAATTAGAGTGGCCTTCCACAAAGATATGAACGGACACTGGGAGGGGTGGGGAAGAGACAGGTGGATTCTGGAGGTCACTGGCCAATCAGCCTGGCCAAACTGATGAGTTCTAGATCCAATGAGAGTCCCTGACTGAAAAACTAAGGCAGAGAGAAACTGAAGAACACACTGGATACCGACCTCTGTCACCCACCAACACACACACACATGCACACACAGGCACAACACTACATCTACATACACATTTGCATATGCACATGACTGTGAACATAAACCACACAGAAAGGAAAGGAAAGCCCACCTCTTTAGTAAGATATTTTCACATTTTAAAAAACTCTACTTCTTTTACAGCTGTCATGATCCTTGTCTTGAAGATGAAGAAAGTGAAACTTAGACAGCAAAACAAATAGTGATGGTATTCTTATTTATAGAATTGATGTAAGAGTTGAAGGACTGAGGCAATTGGGGATCCCCATGAGAACAAAAACCATCAGCATTTCGTATAGAACCATGGATGCATTCCAAAGTTATTAGGCGAAAAGAAATGTGATAAGACATGGGCTGTTTGCATAGTCCTCAAACAGCTTTCCACAAGATACTGGCTAATCACACAGAAGAATAGAACAGTAGAGAAGACCAGCCTCAGATACTGTCTCGAGGTTTCTTGGCAAATAGTGATGCATATCCTCTTGTGCCCTCAGTTTTCCTGCTTAGAGGAGGTGTGGTGTCACCTCCTCTATGTGCTCTCTATGTGCTCTTGCCACAAAAGCAAACCTGGATCTAGTAATGGGAAAAGGTTAGGCATACCCAGGATGAGCGACAGCCAATGCTTTAGAATGTGTCAAGGTCATGAAAGGTGAAAAATCTGAGGACCTCTCAGCATTGGAGAGGAGACTTGAGTAGTATGTGTTGTATCAAATTCTAGTGAATACAAGACTTAGGAAGGGGGTAGGGATAGAGAGTAATGGGAAGAGAGTAAAACCCTAGTAGGACATACAATTGAATTACTGAGTTAATGCTTATGTTATGGTTTTCATACTTGTATCATGATTATGAACAATATTAGCACCCAAGAAATGTGGGAGAAGAATATATGGGAACTAAGTACTATTTCTTCAGCTTTTTTGTAAATCTAAAACTATTTCAAAATCAGTTTTAAAATAACACAATGAGCTCAGAAAAGCTGAGTCATTTGCCCAAGGTCACACAGTAGCTAAGTGGATATCAGACTCTGGGTTTGTCTTCAGTATAGCTTCTCTTACTGCCTTTCTGTTTTTAAATTATGAAGCCAACTTTCTGGTAAATCTAGAAGTGCTGATTCAGAATTTTATTAGCCTTGATCTCTTTCCATGTTTTTCCCTAAATCTCTTGTGCATTTATCCTTTATTTATTATCTTTATTTCTAATTTTTATCTAATTTTCTATTTACTAGATTCCTGCTACCAGTCCACTATTCATTCATTCATTTATGGAAGAAATTTTTTACTGCATGCCTACTAGACTTTTGCCTTCTCTCCTTTCCCCCTTAATGATAGGCCAGCCATACACAGTCCAGTTTTAAAATAAGAATTAACAATATTTCACCGTGGAACTTAATACCATTAGCCAAAGTGGTTTTGCCAGAAGTTAGAAACACTTCTCTTCCAGAGAAGGAGACATATTCCTTAGCGCATTACAGGACCCTAAAGCGACAAAAAAAGAACATCAGCTATTGCATCGTACTAGTCCCCAGGGACAGGCAGATGCGTTTATTGGTGCAGTCAGTCATCCTGGCTCAGTTATCCAGAACATCTCAGGAGCAGGCTGGCTGGCAGATAGGCCCTAAGGAAAGTAAATAAGAGTCTGCAGCGGCCAGAAGCCACCAGGAGTAGACACAAATAACTACCAAAAAAGGCAGCAACTGCATGCAGCGTGAGTGCTTTAGACAGTGCGGGTGGAGGTGCTGAGGTGGGAGACTGCAGCCCCTTCTGCCGAGCTCTGGAGTCCAGGGCTGGGCCTTGAGTGATAGACAGTGCTGGGGAGAAGCTGGGGGGCAGGAGGGACATTCGCAATGGAAGACAATGCACTGAAAGTTTTCTGTCCTGGCACAGTGAGGTAGTTTGCTCCTGAACGCCAGCAGAACGAAGGACCTAGATGTTTCCCACATCCCAGCAATTCTGTACATTCGGGCCTAGTGGTAATGAGGGGAAAGGGAAGAAAATTCCTGATGCAGTGTTGCACAATGCAGTGTTGCACAAAAATGGCTAAAATGCAGCTCCGAGAACAACCATGAAACAGCTGGAAAGGTTTTGCTGACATGAAGGAAGTCCAGGAGATAAATCACTCACACCGTTTTTTTCTCATGTCCTTTCCCCTGCTCTGTAAGACTAAAGTAAGGTGCACATTAGGCATGCACCTGACCCTGTCTGTCTCCTCGAGACTACCCAGAAGCCTATGGGAGGGGGAGTTTTTTAAGCAGGTAGGCATCAGATCTATACTGGACTCAGCCCTGCATGCTTGGTCTGAGAGACAGGTGTTTCTGGACCTTCTTAGGCTGGACCTTTTCCTCAGGCCATAATATTGACCTTAAGCTCCCAGGGGCCAATGTTCCCTCTCTCCTTTGGATGAGCTGCCTTGTAGAAGCCCACACACGAAGCCTCTTTCTCGGAGAGTCTCCCTCTCTTTCTTTCTTTACCCAGCTTCTGCTGCTAGCCCACATTCTCTTTGATCTTACTTTGTTTTTATTCCCCTTACAATAAATTCCCAAGTCGTTTTCCTTTTCTAGAAGAGACAGAGAGGTAATTCCCTGTGTCTTCTTTACCACAGAGATCATAAGCAGCTGGAGTAGAAACTGAAGTCCCCCTTTCCTTTTCCCTTTCCCCTTTTCTCAGCCTGCCCATGCTGTAACACAGGGTAAGGGAAGAGCTTTCTAGGGTCACTCTCCCC